AAAAAAAAAAAACGAAACAAAAAATAATAAAAAAATGAACAGAAATAAAATAGAAAGAGAAAACGACGGAATGAAATACGATTGTCCCGAGCTCTACGCTTATGCGGTAAAATACATCACGTACTAATTCCCAAATAGCCACTCAGCCACTTATTCTTTCCTTTTTTTTTCCTTTCCTTCTATTTTTTTTTTTTTTTTTACTTTCGTAAGCTGTCCGCTTATTCTTAAGCCGTGCTGCTATGAAGGGGTGGAGGGAATGGAGGGGATAGAAAATGTTATGCAAAGTGAGCTAGAGTTCCCGCGAGCTGCATGCGCTCACCCCCTACTAACCCCCACCTACAACCTCAGCACCCTAAGCACCCCCCGCATCGACGCGAATGAGCACTAATTTATACCATGACCCGTTTATACTAACCTACCCCTCTTCACCGTCCCAATGTTAATCCTTACGAGGCTAAATGACCCTTAAGTGAGCTCACCATCCAATGCCTTTCCAAGAGTTCTTCTCTCATCACAAGCAATTCTTCCAGTAGCATCTCTTGACCGATTTTACAATGCACGACAGAAAAACAAAAGCTCATTTAAAAGATAACAATATTGAACAAGCAAAAGAGAAGAGTTACACGTATCATACATCTATCAGATTACACTGATTCTTATTTGTATTTGTATTGTGTATTGTGATATGATTTTAGATAAAACAAGTATTAAACAGAATACATTTTTATTATTTTAATATATATAAATTACGTGTCACGTTGTTTGTCCGCAATGGACTCCTAAATTACTAAACCGATTTTAATACAATTTTGCACACTGTATGCAGTTTCATCCAACTTGAAAGATAGAATAGCTTATATCTCAATTTATAATCGCAATATTATTTTATTGCGAATTATTTATTATTAACAAAGAGTCATTATTATCTCGGTTAGTTCGATAAGATTCTAACAGATGGCCGTATAAGGTAATTCGTTGACTTAAAGACATGTGTATCGGACTGATTATGAGCCACAGCAACGCGTGGCGGGGCACTCCTAGTAATTATATAAATTTTATATTAATATTATATTATGTTAATATAAATTATTATAGTTCGGATTATTAAAATATTTTATAATTGGTTTATATGATTAATATATAATAGGTTTATAATTAATTAAAACTATAATAAAAACTATAATATTTATTATAGTTGTACAACTATAATATGTATATAGTGTATACAGTACTATACAGTAGTATAGTTATTATATAATAGTTATACAACTCTAATATGCATTATAGTTATTATATATATTTATTATAATAAATATTATAGTTTTTATTATAGCTTTAGGGTTTTTTTTTTTTGGTAATTTAATTCGTTTTTATCTCGCTTTTAAATGTGATTACATTTCTGTTTTTTTTTTTATTGGGAAATATAAAAGAATTTATAAATTTATGTAACATTTTGTTATTGCATCTAAATGCATTGTAATTATGTATAAGTATAGTAATTTATTTATATTTATAAATGATAATATATAAGTTTCAAGATAAAAGAGATATAGGAAATAATGAAAGAAAATAAAGGAATAAGGGGTGAGGGAATTTTCTATAGTATGAATTTGATGGTATTTGGAAAATACCATCCACTTTGTTAATATTACATACATTCGTGCATGTACCCCCATATACACTTCATTAATGGTACAACTATTTTCCATTATTTTCTCGTGCGTGAATCCTGAACGTATATTTGCTTTGGTTCATTCTCGCCAATCCTTTATTTTTTTTTTTTTTAACAGTCAATGCAGAATAAGCAGGAATATTTTTCCTATTATTTTAATACTAATTTCTATTGACATAATATATTCACATTTTAAAGACCACTTTTCGTTGAATGAACATCAAATATATGTAAACTATCAAATAATTCAACAACTAATTCACAAGAATTTGTTTTATTCTGTATATATCGCTATTGTATCTGTGTTACACGATCCGTAATATTACTACAACCTGCAGACATATATTTATTTCGCAGTGTTGCCCGCTTCGCGTCCAGTTTGAATCCGTGCAAACACCTCGAACATCGATCCGTTCGGAAAATATTTGCCATTATCGTGTAAATTACGAACGTTACGAGTAGCAAAAGCGAAACAAAGGGGTTCCTGGGAAACGTTGACTCAAACAAGAAAATAATAATACGATGAAAATTATTATCGGAGAATTTGTGGTAGGAACAGAATAAAAATAATACAACGATATTTGAAAATTTTCCTCTTTAACGTATTATACAAAATTAATAATAAAACTTTTACGTGTGTAATGAGTGCTTAGATTTTATTATAAATGTTTGCATTTTTTTATTGTTTCAGTAAACGTCATAGATGGTGAATTTTTACATATCGTCAAGATAAGTCGACTTCATATGGGAAAATATCTGTGCATAGCATCGAACGGCGTGCCACCATCGGTCAGCAAAAGCGTCACGCTCAACGTTCACTGTAAGCTCTATTATACTAATAATTGATGTTATTTTTTTATTTATTTTTTTTTTATTTTTTTACATTTTAAATATTTTTCAACGTCCATCGATCACTTAGTTACGTTGTTCGTTTAAAAAAAAAAAAAAAATAGACAAAAAGCAAAATGCCATTAAAGTGTAGTGCTGAAACAGCACTCACGAACAGATTAATACGTGAAATGTTTATTAAAAAAAAAACACACACACATTTTTATATAATAGAATTTTTGTTGTAAAAGTTTCCATTCGATTTGTCTTTTCGTTTTAAATTGACAGGTTTTTTTATTTATTACGATGTTAACTTTTTCACATTATTAAAAAAAAAAAAAAATAAAAAAAATAAAAAAAGCAATACTCGTTTTTCATCGAATATTTCTACTATTAAATTAACGTTAAATGTGATTAAACAACTGATGCTTGTAACTCGATTCGTATTATTGCAGTAAGATATGAAAACTGTTCAAACAATTTCTTTTTACTTTTGATATCATTTTACAAAATTACCACCATATAAATATATATATATATATATATATAGAAAGAAAGAGAAAACTTTTTTTTTGTGGATACAAATATGAGTATGAAAGGAAAAAAAAATTGATAGAAATTAAAAAGCGAATGTTTAACGAGCCGATCACATGTCATAAAACGGAAATGTATATATTTAATGTTTAATCAATAAATAAAGTGAAAAATCGAGACAATTTTCGCTAGTAGGAAAAAGAGAACCTGATTTTTTACGCTCTGGTTACGATTACTCATATTTCATCAGTGTATTGATACTCTCGTGCAATCTCTTCGTACATACAGTGGAAAATAATAATAATAATAATAATAATAATAATAATAATAATAATAATAATAATAATAATAATAATAATGTTTAGTGAAGCGTTTGCTTGTTAGTTTTTTCCCATTACGAGAATCTGACCATAATTTGAGATATAACGTTGTTAATATTATATGACTTATTAAAAATGCATCATTAATACTTAAATATTATATTATTCTTATAAAATATTTTCAACGCAATTAAATATTAACATACGTAGAACGATGCTTTACATTTATTATGATAAAAGCAAGATGAAGAATGATTCAAATTCACCAACCATAATTGCTTTTTCACAGTATTCAAATAATTATTATTCGTAATAATAATTATTTCAACTTTGTAAATCACAAACGGAAAATAATAGAAATTTGTAATCCTTGCAGATCAATATTTTACGTAAAATATTTATTTATTAAAGAAAATCTCTGAAAATAATAATAACAATAATAATATAGTTTAATGTTCATAATGATATTATTATATATTAATACAGATAGATTGTATAAATTTTTGATAAATTATTGTAAAAAGCAACAGACTTTTCAAATTCATAAAAAGTAGACTAGTCATTAATAATTAAAATAATAATAATAATAATAATAATAATAATAATAATAATAATAATAATAATAATAATAATAATAATAATAATAATTCAATTAGACACAAAATAAAATATAATATATACAAACATTGTATCGTAGGAAAGTTGAGCAAGTAAAAAAATCAGAACATATTGTTTTAATCTTGTTAAACGTTTTGTCCTTTTATTGGGACTTCTTCTTAAATATATATATATACTAGGGTGCCCCGGCCACGCGTTGCTGTGGCTTTTTTTGAGGTGAAAACTTTTTCAAAATCAGATCGATTTAAAAATCGTTAAATGAAAGAACGTAAAACTGATAAAACAAAGATAATTTATTAATTAATAAAATTCATTATATAATTTTTTATTCTATATATTAATTAATAAATAAAAGTNAAAAATAGATGTCGGCCGATTCTCATAGATACCGGATAAGCACAAAAAATTTCATCAAAATCGGTCAAGCCGTTTCGGAGGAGTATGGGAACGAAAACTGTGACACGAGATTTTTATATATATATAGATATAGATATAGATATAGATAGATAGATAGATAGATATATATACATATAACTCTCTATAATTATATATATATATTAAATATAATATAGAATAATAAATTAAAATAATAATAATTAAATATTATATATAATAATTAAATATATATAAATATAATTATAATTATATTTTTTATTTATTATTAGACATTATACAATACAATATATAATTAATATATATAATATAATATTTTTTTTAATTAAATTATTAATATATAATATTTTATAATGTTATACTTGTTCTGAGTCTTCTATGTATTACTAAAACGTTATAAAACATATATATGTAAGAAAGGTACTTACGTATTAACGCCACCGCAGCAAAAATTCTGCTAATGCGCCAATAAAGAGCAATCTTGTTATTCGCACACAACAACCTTGTTGTTTGCACACAGCAACCGTCAGGGTTGCGTCAGGGTTTCGTCAGGGTTTCGTCAGGGTTATGGCGACAGCATCAGGTAAAAGAAAATAGAGACTATTTTGAATTTATGTTAAATTCCATATCGACCCATTTTCCACCGAGATCCGATTGACTACTTTTTAAAAAATAAAAGGTTTTGAATTTTGAAAGTGTTTTGATTTTAAATAAAGTTTTTTATTCTATGATTTGTCGCAACAAATGAAGGTTTAGATTGGCGCATTAGCAAAATTTTACTGCGGTGAAGTTAATACGTAAGTATTGTAGGAATTTTTACTTAGGGTGAGAAGTGCGAGGTGAGCATACACCCAGTTTAATCCTACTAATAAGATATGTTTAAAACAGGTATTAGAAAAAGTACAATAATAGTTTTACAATCTTACACGAGGTACATTTACAACTTAAATGAGGGACTGTATTCTTACAACTGCCTAACTTCCCTATATGATACATAGTTTAAATAATAATAATAAAATGAAAATAATGAAAATAATGAAGATGATGAATATCTGAATATAAAAAGTATCTCTTACCTGAGTTCATAAGAACGAAATGAGCAAAAAGGATCTAACTTATAACTTGAAAAACTTTGTCTAGTAAAAGAATGTTGCTTGTCCATCGTCAGAGACAGCTAGGTCCAGCAGGATGCATTAGGTTGGCTTTCAACGTCTCATTTAGCCACCGATTTACGAGCGACCACTTGACCCAGATATGCTCGATATACGTCCGTTCGTCCCAATGCAACCGTTTGGAGCCAACCCCACCCCCATGACTGTCATCCTTCTCCCTCCTTCGCCTCATTTCACCTCATCTCAACTCATGTCACCTCACCTCACCGCGCTCTTTGATAAATCACTATACGCAACTTAACCCATTACCCGCCAATGGCCTTTTTTTGGGACGCATTTGGAAATTGTTTTTTTTTTTTTTTAATAACTGTAACTTCAGAATGAAATATACATTCGTTAAAATCATGAGATAGTAGCTCGTGAGTCACGAAAATATTTAAAATACTTATATTAATATAATAAATATTTAAAATACTTATATTATATATAATGAAATATTATTTCATTATATAAATTTTTTTTATTATTTTATATTTTTTAATATATTATATTATAATAAATATATAATAAAATTTAAATATATATAATAATATTATATAATA